CCTAACTGCACACCACCCCTCCTCACTGCACACCGCCCGCTGCTTACTGCACACCGCTCCCTCTTTACTGCATACCCCCTCCTTACTGCACACCGCCCCCTCCTTACTGCACACCTCCCCCTCCTTACTGCACACCGCCCCCTCCATTTTGCACACTGCCCCCTCCTTACTGCACACCGCCCCCTCCTTACTGCACATCCCTCCTCCTTACTGCACACCACCCCCTCCTTACCTCACACCCCCCCTTACTGCACACCGCCCCCTCCTTACTGCACACTGCCCTGTCTTTACTGCATACCACCCTCTCCTTACTGCATACCCCCCCCGCCTCCTCGCCAAACTGATGGGGGTGGCCCCTTGCTTATCGCTCACGAATGTCTTGACCCTATCACTATCCTTAAGATGACCACTCATGACCCTGCCCCCTAACCTATACCCAATACGTAGAGATGCTTCTGGGCGTTGGGGCCTCGCCTCTCTCTGCTTGTAGGTGGTGCGGGCCCCCGAGCCCAGCTGTGCTTCCTTTGTCCTTCTGTGTCCTGTCTCTTTATTTCTTGGATTCTGTGCCTCAGCACCGTGATACGGGACACCCCATGGCCCTGCAGGGCTGGACCCTACAGTGGGCACGTCTCTGGGCTCACTGGGTCTCCTGGGGGTGTCCTGTGTGCAGGGTCGAGGGGCCCCAGGCTGCAGAGGCCTTGCACTTGGCATCTTTTTTTTTTTTTTTTTTGAGACGGAGTTTCACTCATGTTACCCAGGCTGGAGTGCAATGGCACGATCTCGGCTCACCGCAACCTCCGCCTCCTGGGTTCAGGCAATTCTCCTGCCTCAGCCTCCTGAGTAGCTGGGATTACAGGCACGCACCACCATGCCCAGCTAATTTTTTGTATTTTTAGTAGAGACGGGGTTTCACCATGTTGACCAGGATGGTCTCGATCTCTTGACCTCGTGATCCACCTGCCTCGGCCTCCCAAAGTGCTGGGATTACAGGCTTGAGCCACCGCGCCCGGCTGGCATCTTTGTGTGATTTTCAGAATTCCTCTGTTTTTCTGCTTTGAAAATTATATTGTGCTATCACTTGCCCATGTCTGACTGTAATTGTATAGTTCTCAAGGTGTGCTGTAGGCTAAAGGGAGGCAGTGTGGGAACTCGTCACAGAATTAACGTCACGAATGGGGATTAAAAAGTGTTACAAGTTCCAAAGCGCCAGTGTTGAAGGCCTGAGGACCTTCTTATCTTTAGGGATTCACGAAAGGAAGCCCCAGGAGTTCTTAGGTGGAAGCTTCGTGGCCCTGGGCACCCATGACCATGAGGTCCAGCCCCAAGCACAGACCCAAAAGGCCCCTGGAAGCTGCCCTCACGGCCCGGGCATGTTCCCTTCCATGGAGGGTCCTCTGTGTTGCCTGAATGTGACTTGAGAATCCCACCCCATACCCACTGTACACGTTAGAAAAAGGGTGTGCACGTGTGTGGGAGTCTGGTCCGTGTGCAGCTGTGCCTGTGAGCAGCAGTGAGCTCTGAGGAACAGGCAGTTCTCGGCACCATGCTGGGCATCTCCAAGAAGCCGTGGGACCACCAGAGCCCAGCGTTCCTTTACTAGTCAGCCTGCGCAGGGCCACCCCTGAGGGACGGGCACCCTGCCCTGTGCAGATGCTGCAGGGTGGACGCAGCAGCCTGCCACCCGCACAGTCCTCTGTGGCCTTTTCTCCTAGACGATCGCCCCGTGAGAGAGAGTGAGCGGAAGGCTTCACAGCTGCGTTTTGCATCAGAGGACTCACTGGACTCAAAGGAGAACATCCCAGCTGCTTTGAAAGTGGGCAGGTATGAACAGAAGTGCTTGGACGCCCAGAGTGTTTGACACTGGCCTGCTGCCAGGAGGATTGACTGTGAGTCACGTGCTGTGGGTGCCAGTCTCTGTC